TTTTATTATTTTCAGTGAAGTTACTAACGTGTGTATTTTGTTATAAGAAAGAGGTAAGAGGCATCTAAGTAAGTACTTTAATTGTTGAATTGATATTATGATATTGAAATCATGTTTAGATTGTTAGGATGTTTTTTCCTAGTATCATGTTAGGATGCTTTTCTTAGTATGATGTTTAGGGTGACAACAATAAGTTCCTTATATCAATTATGATTTATGTGATGCTTTCTATTTTCTTTCCTAATAGCATGTTAGTATCATGTTAGGGCTAAAGCTTTGATTTGTATTGTTTAGTGACATGCTAGGGTTTGTTATTAATCTTGTTAGTATCATGCCTAGGATCTTGCTATTATTATGCTTTATGTTTAACATGAACATAATTATTTTAATTATGATTATTTTCATGATTATTATTCTGATTATGATTATTATTATGTTGCTTTATTATATTTATTTTTATTGCTTGATCACACCTTTTGTGCATGTTTAAAGGGAATTGGTACTTGTAATCATGCTTAATAAGATAATTAATAATCTTGTTTAGGGTTAATATGATTATAATTCAAGTGATCGCCAATAATAGTGTTTTTTTGTGCATTTATATTCAACCAACATAGATAAACAGGTTTAGGGCTAACCTATTGATTGCATGTTGTCAAAAAGCGCACATAAATATGAGGATAATAAAGTAGAGACCTATTATTAGGGCAGGTTCAACCTCTTTTAGGTTGGATTTGTACCTTTATCCCCGAACTTCCAGTCTTAGTTCCAAACCTATTGGAGTTAACGATCACTTGGATCGCTAAGGGGTGTAACCTTCACCCTATGAACGGTTTACAATTTCCTAAAACTTGTTGGCAACTGTTTTGCTTTAGCTTCCTTCTCTTTAGACGCCAACGTACTTCAGTGTATGATCACAGTGGGGTTCAAGTTTAGGGTAATGCTTGAAATATTCCCTACAACCTTTGTGTTCGACCTTTTTCGAAAGAGGGCATGCACCCTTCAGGAGCCAATGATAGAGGCGGAGAGCTTTATTCAGGCTACCAAACTCTGCTTGTCAAGCAATTAGTCAGACTCCAAGAAGTCTGATAAGCAAAAAGAGAGTAGGTCTGCTTAGCCAGCTCAGAAATCTGAAGAGAGCAAAAGTGAAAGAAGTTTGGGCAGTTGAGGAACCTAATTAGCCATCCTAAAAGAAAAAGAAATAATTCAAACCGTATGTCTCACGGTATGAATTTAATAAAGACTGTTACACAATCTTTATATAAGTGAAGGATTGGCTGACTATTGAGAAGCCAAATCCTCAGAAGAGTTCTGTTAAGTCGCAAAACAAGAATAAATTTTTTCAATTCCATCACAAAGTGGGCCATGACACTAACGACTACTGGAGTCTCAAGCAGACGTTAGACCATCTAGATGACAAGGGCTTGCTGAAGTCCTATGTCTTGAAGTCCAAAGAGACTTCTAAGACGAATATGGGGCAGTTGTCAAATAATGTCCCACCTATTAGTAGCTCGGATACAGACAAAGATCTAGTCTACACTATACCAAGCAAATTTGCATACGGTGGCCCGACCATCCGGGGCACCAAGGATCACCTGAAGAAGATGATCCATTAAGTTGATGATGGACAGGCATCTTCTAGCGGGACCTTCCCGTACGTCCTCATCACTGAGAAGGATCGTGGCAAAGTATGCCGATTGTATGACGACCCAGTCGTCATCGAATGAAAGGTCGCCAACCAACTGGTTTTCCGAATCCTGATAAACACGGGTATCTCCTTTAATCTCATCAGCTCCAAGTGTATGTCCAAGTTTAATTACGAGCTGGACAATCTGCGCTACGTCTTTCATCCATAGTTAGATTTGGTGGAGGGGTTGGGCACCCAATCGGAAAAATTGACCTACCCATCCGGCTGGGGCAAAAGGGGAAAAAGCAGCACGTGGTCGTCTGGATCTTGGTGGTTAAAGAGCTTACCGCCTACAACATTATTCTTAGCTGACCAACTCTGAATGAGTGCAAGGCCGTCATCATCCCAGCTCTCATGCTTCTCAAATATGAAAAGGATGATGGTATTGTAAGCTCCCTTAACGGGGATTAGAAGACGGTAAGGGAATGTTATCTCTTATATGTCAAGCCGACTTCTGCTGCAGCCGGTCAGCCAAAGGAGCCTATAGACCTTGACATCACCCTTATTCACCCCCTCCAGCAGCTGCCGAAAAAAAAAAAAAAATTGAACAGCTAAAGGAGGTGAAGAAAGAGAAGAATAGAAATCACTGATCGGGGAACGGTCAGAAGATCTCCGTCCCCAGCCAGCTGGTGAGCACATTGATATTCCTCTGGATGAAAGGCTTCCAATGCAAACTATTAAGGTGGAGACAGCTTCCTTAGAATGGTTGGGTGCAGACTTGCACAACCTGTAGAAAGAATACAAAGAAACCTTTTCTTTAAAGTGGAAGAGATGCCAGGCATCAGCCCGGATTTCGCTTTCCACAAACTCGCTGTGGATCCCAAAAAGAAGCCCATTCGGCAAAAGAAGAGAAACCACGGTGAAAAGAAGTTAGGCAGCAGCTACCAAGGTAAAAAAGTTGTTAGACGCCGGGTTCATTCGGCCATGTAACTTCCCTGATTAGGTTGCGAACGTGGTGCTTGTAAAGAAGCTGATGAGTGTCATTTATGGCACTCATTTGGTTATCTTTAGGGTGGATTTCATTCTATTCTATAGCTCTTTTCTTTAGATTTTCCTTGATTTTACTCTTTATTTCTTTAGTTTTCATTTTCTTAGTTGAATTTCTATTTTTATGCATTTCTTTTTTTATTTTGTTATTTTCTCTTTTATTTGCTTGTTTTCTTTCATTTTTCAAGTTAAGGTCGTTATCCAAAGATTCCCGAGGCCCCTTCCCAAGTTTGACATTGATTTGGATGCCTAATGTTCTCCATTTGAAGCTCAAGCATGGACAAGTGCAAGTTTCTAAAGACTTTAGGCCGTGCTTTCAAGCCGTGGGGGAACGAATTCATGTGTTTAACCCACAATAATGGAGTTTGGAAACTGCAATGTCCCGTGTTTATCAAGAGCATTGAGTGGAACACACGAAGAGTATCGGCATGGTGGGGTGAAGAGGGCTGCCCTTTTCCCAGGTGCGGGCGCGCGGCCTAGTAGCGCGGGTGTGCCTCTCTCGGGCGCGGGCATGGGCGCAACTGTGTAGGTCTCTGTTCCATACCAAGATTTGCGCGGCCGCGCTCCCCCTTATAGTTGGTCGCGCCTGTACGGGTTTATTTGGGACGATCTATTTAATTTCTATTTGTTAGTTTTACTATATATAGATTTTTATTCTATTTTTAGAGGGAGATTATTAGAGAGTTCATTTTTTAGAATTAGAATAGAATTAGGTTAGATTTTTAGAGAGAGAAACTCTAGTTTGTAGAGAGAAGTTCTTGATTGATTATTGAAGATTGATGATTCCAAGTGTTTTCTCCATTGATTTGAAACAAGTTTGTAAGGATTTCTTTACTTTAATGCAATCTTAGTTTTGGTTTCAATGTTTTTTGTTAATTGTTCAAGTTAATTTATTTTTGAATTGATTTTATCTTGATTAATATGTTGGTGATGAATTTGTTGTTTAGCTTAGTTTTGATATTGATTTCAATGAATTGTGAGTAGTTTTCCTACTAGGGGAATGGTGAAGCATATATGAGTAATGGATTTATGCTAATTGGGGGAAATTGATGGAGTTGATGTTATGAGTAAATTGGTTGATTGATTATGTGCATGTGTGTGTTTAATTTAGGAGTGATCAACCTAGTTACTCGCACTAGATTGCATTGTAAGTTCACATTGATACGGAAAATTGATTTGTGGCTTGCATTTGTCGATTGAGTAGGTTTGGAAGGTTCCTAGCTAGACTCTCTCGTAGTTGGCGCTAGTTTAACCTCTAGGAGATTAGCCTACTATACTCTCTTGATTTCTTAATTGATTTTCCCTCGCAACACTCGACTTAGTCATCTCTAACCCCAATTAGTTGAATTCATTGCAAGTATATGTCGATCCTAAACCCTAGTGTTTGATAAATTTGATTTGATTTCGATTGTTTGATTGTTTAGAATAGACACACCTTACTTCATTACTTTGAGATATCTTAGCTTTAGCATTAGCATTCATCTCCCATTCCTAGTGGTTTGACCCTCAAATTACTCCTATGCTAAGTATAAGGGTGTGTTGAGAAATTACAAATTTTGTTTGACCGAGGCAAGATTAGTTTTCAACGACCTAGTCTCCACCTTTGATCAAAATGGCGCCGTTTTCGGGGAATGGCGTAGTTGTTTGCTATTGTTGTTGAGTCTATTTCACTAAAATTCAAAAATACAAAAACATTTTTCTCTTTTGGCTATGTTTGTAGCCGTGTTACTAATATTTTACTTTGAGTTTGTGTGTGCAAGTTAACATGGGAGAAGTCTTAAGGGTTACAGAATTGGGTACTCCGAGTGCTTACAAGTATGAGAGTGGGATTGCTCCATTATTGATCCCGGATAGTGACTTTGAAATGATAACTTTGATTGAAAGGCAGCAATATAGTGGAGGAGTAAATGAGAGCCCCCTAAATCATCTTAAGGAATTCGAGAAATATTGCAACACAATTAAGGTGAACGGGGTTGCTCAAGAATTCTTAAGGCTCAAGCTATTTCCTTTCTCTCTAATTGGAAGTTTTCAAGAGTGTCTAGACAAGGAAGTGAAGCCTAATTCTTTGAGAACATAGCATGAAGTCGCCAAGGAATCCCTTTCCCGTTTCTTCCCTCAAAAGAAAACAGCGGAGGCAACAACTTTGATTCAAGGTTTCAAACAAAGGTCTAGTGATAGCCTTTATGAAGCATGGGAGAGATACAAAGAGTATCAACGCGATTGTCCTCACCATGGAATCCCCACTTACCTAATCATTCAAATTTTTTATGGCGGTTTGAGTCCTCAAGGGAGGGCAAGGCTTGATGTCGGAGCCGGAGGGCCAATCATGAACAAGACTGAGGAAGATGTTGTAGATATCATTGAGGATTTGAGGATGTAGTTAGAAACTACATGAAATGGCAAGATGGTGAAAAAGAGCCGATAAACAAGAGTAGTACTAAGGGATGCTCAATGGAACAACTCAATGCTATCAACTATTTGTCTACTCAAATTTTGGACTTAGGGAAGGAGGTAGTTTCTATCAAGTATAAGCTCAAGAGCGTGACCTCACAAGCACCGATTCTTCCCTCCAAAATTAAGGGGAGAGGTACGTCTTCTTCCCATAACTCTCTTCCTTCTTCTTGTAATTTGTGTGGAATGAATGACCATGATGCTTCTATTTGCCCTAAAGTTCTTTGTGATGAATGTGCTGGGAGTGAGAATGAACATGTGAATTTTGCTAATAACAATGTTTGACCTAGATTTGATGCTCAAAGGAATGTTGGAAATAGGAACTACCACAACCAAGTGAACTATGATAATTACAACCAAAATAGTGGTTATAGAAACCATGGAATCCAAGAGATTTGTGGTAGCTATAACAACCATTGTTATAATGGTCAAAGTCATGGCCAAGGATATGGAGATTATAACAAAGGTTATGGTAACCATAATAACGATTGTGGCCAAAATCAATGTAGAGGTAATTGGAACAGTCAAAGTAGGGGAAATCTTCAATCGAATGTTCAAAGAGTTACCACACTTGGATTTATTCCGAATGCCCAAGGGCAAAGTGATAAATTTTATGATCAGCCATTTTCCTCTAGGAGTTTCTTGGAAGATGTCATAGAGAAGCAAGCCAAATTGTTGAACACCTACATTACCCTAAGCAATGAGAAATTCAATGACATGTTAACTTACCATAGGGGGTTGGAGACCCAAATTTCTCAATTGGCTAGTGAGTTTAAGGAATTCACAAATCTTCCTTCTTTGAATTCACCAATCTTAGATCCTAAGAGCCCTACGAATGCGATTGTGACTAGGAGTGGTAGGGTCCGTAAGAGTGAAGACTCTAAGAAGAGTGATGCTAAAGAGAGTCCTAGAAAGGTTCAAATGGAGAATGAGGGAAATGAGAATACTTTAGTTGAGGAAGTCAATAAGGAACAAGTTGAGAAGGTGAAAGAGAGAGAAAGAGAAGTCTACAAGCCTAAGCTTCCTTACCCCAAAAAGTTTAATAGGCACAAATTAGACGAGCAATATGGGAAATTTATAGAGATGCTTAGACAACTTCATCTTACACTTCCTTTCACTGATGTGATAGAACAAATGCCGAATTATGCAAATTTCCTTAAGGAGATCTTGAGTGGAAAGAGGACATGTGATGCGGTCAAAACAATTAACTTGACCGAGAATTGTAGTGCAATCATAATGAACAAAATCCCACCTAAGTTGAAGGATCCCAAAAACTTTTTTATCCCTTGTGCTATTTAGAAAATGCAAATTGATAATGCCTTGTGTGACTTGGAAGCTAGTGTAAGCATTATGCCATACTCAGTTTATAAAAGACTTGAGAAGGGAGAACTTTTACCTACCAACATTACCTTGCAATTAGCTGATAGATCAATTAGGATTCCAAGGGGCAAGGTAGAGGATGATCCCTTACGGGTAGGAAAGTTCATCATTCTTGTAGATTTTGTTGTCCTTGACATAGATGAGGATTCTACAATTCCATTTATTCTTGGTGGACCATTTCTTGCTACTTCGGGTTCTTTGATTGATGTCAAAAGTAGGGGTGAGCATGGGACGGGTACCCATACCGTTAGTACTAACGGTTCGGGTACCCAATAACGAAAATCACTAAAAGTGATATCCGTAACCGGAACCGATAAGTTTGGGTACCCGGATTTTCGGATCAGTTATCGGGTACCCAATAAGATATCCAATAATGATTATTAAACTTAAGTATGTAGTTATTATGATATAATTTACGACTAATTAAAAACAATACCATATGATCTTGACCAAATTATTAATAATATTACTAATCATTGATATTATAAAGTGATTATGATGTAAAGTAAAAGTTTAGTTTATATTAATAAATTTAAGTAGGGAATTAAAACAAAAAAGATGTTTATCGGATCGGATCGGGTAACCGTTAATTTTAAAATGATACACATAACCATACCCGATAACAAATTATCGGAACGGGTACCCAAACCATTATGGTTATCGGATCGGGTACCCTAATTTTCTTAATGGTTACGAATCGGTTTTTCGGGTTTTCGGTTTTTCGGGTAGTTTTTCTCATCTCTAGTAAAAAGTGCTAAGATTTCACTTAAAATTGGAGATGAGGGAGTTGAATTTGAGTTGAATGAAAGTATGAAATATCCTTCTTCATATCTTGAGAATTGCATGAGAGTTGAAATTTTAGACAATCTGTACATTCAATGCATGAGCACTTGCTCATAACTAATACAAGAAAAAGATAGGTGCTTCTAGCAAGGAAATGGCTTTGTATGAGAATTTGTTAGATAGGAGTTTTGAAGGAAGTGATGAGCGAATTTGCATGAAAATCTCAAGCCAAGAGGCTTTGCAGGCGGCTTGAATCAAGGAAAGTAAAGGTGTTCCTATGGTAGAGCTTAAATCTTTACCATAACTCCTTAGGTATGAGTTCTTAGGCCCAAATTCTACTTATCCCGTGATTGTTAGTGCATCTTTGAGTAAAAGCCAAGCTCAAGCGTTATGCAGGGTATAAGCCCCGCTTTTTGTACACATCACATAACCCTTGAGCAGGGTGCCCTTCCTTCTATTGAACGATAACGGAAATTAAATCCCCATATGGGGGAGGTATTGAGGAAAGATATTACTAAGCTTTTATATGCGGGAATCATATTTCCCATCTCAAGCTCTAGGTGGGTTTCACCTGTTCATGTCGCTCCAAAGAAGGGAGGCATGACCGTCATCAAGATTGAAAAAGGTGATCTTATTCTGACAAGGACGGTCACCGGTTGGCGAATGTGTATAGAATATAGACGTCTAAACACATCTACCAAGAAAGATCACTTCCCCCTTCCTTTAATTAATCAAATGCTTGAAAGACTAACAAGGCACAAGTACTATTGTTTCCTTGATTGTTACTCAGGATTTTTCCTAATTCCTATTCATCCCGATGACCAAGAGAAAACTACTTTTACTTGTCCCTATGGTACCTTTTCCTATAGGAGAATGTCATTCGGACATTGCAATGCTCCCGCCACTTTCCAACGGTGTATATTGAGTATCTTTTGAGACATGTTGGAGGAGGAGATAGAGGTGTTTATGGATGACTTTTCCGTAGGTGGAGTTTTCTTGTAGGCGTGCCTTGAAAATCTTGAAAAGTGCTTGGCAAGGTGTGAGAAAGTGAACTTGGTGTTGAATTGGGAAAAATTCCATTTCATCGTTGAAGAAGGCATAGTCCTTGGGCACAAAATTTCTCACAAGGGTATAGAGGTGGATAAGGCAAAGATTGAGGTTATTGAAAAGTTGCCACCTCCGGTTAATGTGAAGGGTGTGAGATCATTTTTGGGCCATGCCGGGTTTTATAGAAGATTCATCAAGGATTTCTCGCTCATTGAAAAGCCCCTCAATGATATTCTTCAAAAGGATACCGAGTTTGTATTTGATGATAAGCGTTTGGAGGCATTCAAAAAATTGAAGAAAGCTCTAATCTCTACTCCTATTGTTTAAGCACCAAGATGGGATTTACCATTTCAGTTGATGTGTGATGCAAGTGACACGACCATTGGAGGATTTTAGGTCAAAGAGTTGATAAGAAACCTCAAGTGATTTATTATATGTCCAAGACACTAAATAGAGCTCAACGGAATTACACTACATCAGAGAAAGAATTCTTGGCTATTGTTCATTCCTTTGAAAAAATTCGTTGCTACTTGTTAAGGTCCAAAACAATTGTGTTCACCGATCATGCGGCCCTAAAATATCTTTTTGGGAAAAGGAATCAAAGCCAAGGCTAATTCGTTGGATGTTAGAGCTTCAAACTTTTGACCTTGAGATTAGAGATAAGAAAGGAGCGGAGAATGTTGTAGCGGATAATGTTGTAGCGGATCATCTATCTAGACTTAAGGATTTTCAAGTTCAAGATGATGGGTCTCCCATTGAAGATATAATGTTAGATGATTCTTTGTATGCTATAGATGTGAAGGAACTCCCATGGTTTGCCGATTTGGTGAACTATCTTGCTTGTGGGGAGTTTGCTCCTTCATTTTCCGAGAATCGAAGAAAAAAGCTCGAGAGGGAGGCTAAGCATTATGTATGGAATGAACCGATTTTGTATAAAAGGGGTAATGATGGGTTATTGAGGAGATGTATTCTGAATGAGGAGTTACCTAGTGTATTAAAGATGTGCCACTCGGATCCGAGTGGTCACTACTAAAATTCGATAAAATAGCGACCGGTGTTTTACGACCGTCATTAAAACGATCGCAAATTATAATATTTGCGACCATTTTTAAGGCGGTCGCCGATTTGCGATCGTTTTTAAGGCGGTCGCAGCTTTGCGACCGTTTTTAGGACATTTAACACTCGCAAAGGTATTTAAAAATTTCTTTAAAATAATATACATGTTAAAAATAATTCTAAATTAAAACAGTTCTATTGCGACCGCCAAAAAACGGTCGCAAATTGCGAACACTACGACCGTTATAAAAACGGTCGCAATTTGTGACCATTTGCGACCGTTCTTAAAGCGGTCGCAGATTATAATATTTGCGACCGTTTATAATGTGGTCGCCGATTATAATAATTTGCGACCGTTTTAGTGATCGTAATTGTTTATTTATTAATTTTTAAAATAGGGTGTATAAGGGGCTCAAGCTTCCCAACCCAAACTAACCCTATTTTTTTTTTGTTTACCGCCACTGTTCCTCTTCTCTCCATCTCTTTCTCTCTCTCTCTCTTTCTCTCTCTCTCTCTCTCTCTCTCTCTCTCTCTTTTTTCAACTAACCCTCTTCCTCCATTTTCCTTATCTCCACTCTATCCTTCTCACGCCCCTCCTCTTTCACTCTCATCTTCTAATTCTCCTCTTTCACTGCCGAAAAAATGAAGCAAAGCACTTGAGAATTGAAGAATAAGAAGCCGGAAATCGCTGCTCATTCAAGATTTGGCTCAAATCGGAAACTTCGCCGACAATTTCTCTCTCCTCCACGCTGCTTGCCACCGTCAAGACCACACACTGTAAAAAGACCTCCACCGTCACAAGAACAAGCCTAAGAGAAGTCAAGGTTTTCTAGATCTGATAATTAATTTAGGTTATATTGTTCATTGTTCATTGTTGATCTAGATTTTTTTTTTCTAATTTCTGATTATAAATAATTGTTTTATTGTAATTTTTGTTTTTAATTTTGAAAGATCTATATTATTGTTTTATTTCTAATTTTTGGGTAAATTTCTATAATTTGTATAATTTTATTTCTTATTTTGTGTATAATTTTCTTAATTTTTTAATATTTTTTTATAATTTTTGTGGGCGGCGTTAGGTTAAGGTGGTTTTGGGTGAGCGGTGTTGAGGTGGTTTCGACTGAGCGGCGTTGGGTTGAGGTGGTTTTAGGTGAGCGACGTTAGGTTGAGGTGGTTTGAGGTGAGCGGTAGTTGATTTGTTGGTTAGGGTGAGAAGTTGTTGTGGGTAAAGGTTGTTTGGGTTGGCGGTGGTGGTGGGTTAGGTGGTTTCAGGTGAGCGGCGGTGGGTTTTCGTGGTTAGGGTGGGAAAAAGTGGTGGGTAAAGGTGGGGTTTGGGTTGGCAGTGGTGGTAGGTAAAGGTGGTTTCGGTGGTTGGTGAGGCTTGATGCGAAAAATAGTAGTGCGATTTTTCTTTTTATTTTTGTTTTTTTTTTAAATTTTAGCGACGGCTTATGGCGATCGCTAATTCCAAAAATTGCAACCGCTGACATAACTAGTCGCAATTTTTAATTTTTACGACTGTTTTCTAAACAGTCGTTGAAAATAATAAAAATGGTCGCAAAAAATCTCCTACTGTCAAACGGTCGCAATAATGATTTTCTACGACCACGTGAATAACGACCCACCACCTTACGATCGTTGACGGTCACAATTATTGATTGCGATCGTTTTTACTATAATCTGGGACTGTCAGAGATAGTCGCAATTTGGCCGAATTTTAATAGTGGGTGGTCAAATGGGTGTCTCAAAAACGGCTTCAAAGGTGCTCAAATGCGGATTATGGTGGCAAAATCTCTTCAAGAATGTTTGGGAGTTGGTCAAGAGTTGTGACCGATGCCAAAGAACCGGAAACATTTCATAGAGGAACGAAATGCCTCAACAACCTATACTAGAGTTGGAAATTTTTTATGTATGGGGAATAGATTCATGGGTCCTTTTCCTACTTCATATGGGAACCAATATATCCTTGTTTACGCCGATTATGTGTCAAAATAGGTGGAAGCTATTGGTTCACCTACAAACGACCATAAGGT